AGTATTGTATGAGTTAACAAATGATTCGGAAGTGCAAGAAATATGGCTTTCCGCAGCTTTCCAATTAAATGCTACTCTAATTGTACCGATGGAATCGTTGCGACGGCAAATTCGCAGCCATTTTGGATCGATGGTTGAAATTTGTTACCCCGATTTAGTCAATAACGGTATGTACCACTGTTGCATCTTTGAGAATTCCTGGAGGACAGTGAGTTCAAGAGAGTTCATCAGCTTTCTGAAATATCACGAAAGCAAAAATAGTTTAAATTTTGTTATCACGAAACTATTGGTAGAGTGATAATTTCAGTGATTGACACTGTAATGTCGCTATTAACCGATAAAAGTACATGGGAACCGGAATACATTAGCGTCTTTCAATTTATTAACTTATTCCGTGGCAAACATGTCACTTCGTTCGTTGAAAATTTGGCACATGAAGGTAGGAATTACAATTTGTGACATATTGTCTGCTTAAGATGGCTTTTCTTAATACTACTTATTTTCAGTAATTGTCGTTACCTTCAAAGATTTCATTTTCATTATGTTACTATCAACTAGTCATATTTGTTTTTAATTTTACAGCACTAATAATGTCACATCTAAGCTCACGCCAAATTAATCTTGTCAGAGAAGTTATGAATCGATTATCACAAGTTCCAGTTGTTCCACCATTGGAAAGCTTACGATATATTTCTCTCGTGCTTGTTTGCCCGGATCGTAATTTACAATCAATCATAGGTAAATATCAGTGCAACAGTTTTTCTCCTTACTTGATATTTTTCTTTGAAATTTTTTTTTTAGAGAAACTTCATTTTACAAGCAAATTAATTATTGTATTAAGTATACAAATCTCATCATATTAATGGATTACAAATTTTCTTTCAGAAACTTATCTTCTATCAGCAGACGGACAATTACGTGATGACCTGATAATGTGTTACATTTGCCTTTTGGAGCATGAGAATGAGCAAAGTCGTAAAGGTGCTTGCCGTGCATTAGGCACACTTGGAGTATGTCTTCTAATATATATCAATTTCTTTTTCTTAAATGTTTGGATCAAAATCTCAAGTAAAGACATCGGAAAAATGAGAGAAGGATTGAAGTAACCAATTGGTCTATGTGGGTTGTCTTTGTAATCTAAGTGCTTTGTCAGCAAATAAAGATAGAAAAATAGAAATGATAAAGATATTAGATGACATCATTTAGTTTTAATTTATCGAAAACAAAAATTACTAGAATTCACAAATTTGATATTCAAATTGCGATTACATTTTTGTGGTAATTTTTTTCGAAAAAAAAACACCTGCATTTTGCGCTACAACAACATCTAAATGATACTTTCAGTCAACGAAAGCAGTACATGCGTTGACATTTTTATCTGGTAATGATCCAGCACAAGCTGTACGAGAGGAAGCGCATAAAGCGGTAAGTAAAATGACGCGTAATTTGAGTGATTTAACAAATATCGAGACTACTAAAATATAAAATTTTCACTTGATGAATTTATTTTTTCGTCTTATGAATAGCTATTACGTTGTAAATTACTTTTACTCCACTATAGTCATTTCTTCCAATAATTTTTTTTTTTTTTTTGTTGAGTAAGCCATCTTTTTTATTGGCATGAAATACTGTATGACGAAGTGCTTTCATACTGTATAATTAATTGATTACATAAAAATGATACGAGCAACTTCTACCTTTCTTGTACCAATCTTTTTAATCAGGTTTTATTGTTTCTATCCTTTACATGATGTTTATTTAAATAACCTAACAATTTCACGACATTTTTTTTTCAATGTTTCATTTTTTACTTATCCATTTGAAAGAAGAAAATGCTTTGTTTAAATTGTATATTTGCTTGTAATTTTTATTCTCCCATAAATATCTTTTTAACATTGCATGCTTTTCTCACACTTTCAATTTTGCTCATTCATATTATTTGCTCCACTCATATATATGTATATTAAGAAAGAGAGAAGGAGAAAAAAAAACGAATTCCCATTAGCTAATTATTACACTGATTATTGGATTTGTTTTTTTTTTTTGTTGCATCGGTGTTTTTTTTTTGATTGGTGAATATAATATGAATTTTTGATGCTAATCATTGATTAATCGGATTTGTTATCAGTTTCGGTATCAGTTATTATTAATTAGATCCATCATTGTCAGTTCTTTTATTAATTACTAGTTGATCAGATTCTTTGATCGAATTGAATCCATGCTATTATTTTTCATAGAAATTTTTAATTAATTGGATTTATTCTGTATACTGATTTGCTGAATTTCCTGTACGTAAACGCACTTTTGTGCAAATCTAATCAATGACATTACGAAATATATCAACTTCTATTTATCCTCATTCGTAGGAGCAGAAATTTGTGAAGTGTAGCAATTGGTGTTTTTTTTTTCTTCGCAACCGGTTGTTTTCTTCTTTTTAGTGATAGATGATGTCAAATTTTGACTATATTCCGCCGGAATTTCATATATGTTGCAAGAACACTTACATTTTTAACTTAATGCTTTGCCTGTTTTATTTTAAAGATATGGAGAGGTCGGATGAAGATTATGTAATAATTATATTTTTATTTTCACATATTCAACAGAATAAGTGTTCTAAAAATTTTTTTTTTGCACATTATAATTATATTGTAAATATGCTTTCCGTTCATATTTAACTACATCCTTCTTTGTATACTTTATTTGTTCATCCGAATATTTTTGTTCGCTTAACAAAATTTTTAAAAATAAATTGAAGTTGAATAAATCTTTGTTCATGAAGATATTTTTGACAATTTAACATTAGCATTTCTGAATATATTTTCATGTTATAACATTTATTAAAATTATTCCTTTCTATTTCAAACTATTTTTGAAACACTTAAATTTCTTACAGCATTACTACAGCATAATATAGAAGTACTAAAGATTATTTACTACTATAACAAAATATGATATTTCAGAAATTATTCAAATCATCATATCTTGATGTTTCCTTAAAATAATACAAAAGTGGGATATGTTAGAATGTTTTCTTAGAATAATGTATTTATAGGATTCAGATACATATTAGTTATCATTAATTTCACTATCCGAAAATAGCATAACAGTGATATTTTGATATTACACTTGCGGATAAATAAAAATATCTATTTTTATTGATCGATTGTATCCTCGTGAAAGTGCTGAATTTATAGTTACAAATGGTATTAATAGCATAGAATTATGTCAAGAGGGAATATTAAAAGTGGTGGCTCAACTTGTACGTGTTTTTCTTTCGTAATCATTAAAATGAATTTTTTTTTTTTTCAAAAAAATGTTCACTTTAAAATAACAATAATAACATTAATCATGTAGTTTCATGACGCATACGGCAGTTATATAGTGAACATTTCTTAAAGAAATACAAAATATATCTAAGCTATCATTTTATTTTCATATAAATCATCTGCTAATTAGGTTTGAAAATCTTTCGAAATTAGTTACCTAAATAGTTCAATTTACGATTTGGATTTTTTTTTTTTAAATTGAAAATTTCTTTTTTGAATGTAATATGCACACTATAGATCTTCATCTACAAATAGCTGACCGTAAAACTATTGATTGGTAAAATTTACAATTTACTTAACTACAAATAATTATTACTATCTTTTTTTTCTTCTTTTTTGACAAATTTAATTCAAGAAAAGTCTGGTTGTATTTTTTCTGAAAGTTAACAGTGAAGAAGTGCAGATTACTTTTGACTGCTTATTTAACATTTCAAAGAGAATCTCGTTTGATTTTTGTTATATTTTTTAGTTTTATTAGGAGATCTAAACTTCTCATTTTGGTCTAATCATGAAATGAATTTTAAAGTAACATTTAACGAAAAACAATATACAGGTTACTTGGCTGCATGTGCATGCATTAATAAAGTCTTAGAAGGAAATGTACCAGTTATTAATGCCAGTTATATGGAAAACGTTATTTCGGATGATGTTAGATTTTCAAAACTGATGACGGTTAATTTTCTATATATATTTTAATTATTTAGACAGCCAGAGTTATTTCTGAAAAGCTGATGGTGCACGTAATTTTTGCGACGTTCAGTAAGGATTTATTATTTCTGGATTATCTCACATTCAAATAAAGAGAAAATTTTGAAAATTGGCCTTTATTTCTTAAATGCAAAAACTATGCATAATAGTTCACATGTTACAGTGAACTAAACAATGTTTACCGATTATCGTGTACCACAAGTACTTCACTTCCTAGGTGTACTGAAATACTCGTCAGTACTGATGAAACAGATGGAGAAGAAAGAATTATTAACAAAACAGAACATGGAATGGAATTTCAAGGATTCTCAATAAAAGTTTGTGATGTTTGTTTTAGTATCAAACTGTCTATAATTTAGGTAAAGAAAGTAAAATCTTTGAAAAAAATTGTGCAAGAAAACACCTTTGCTTTACAAACAAAAATTATTTTCTAATGAATTAAGAAAGTTTTAATTTCTCATTGTCAAAGAATTTTTAGGATACTGTGAAAGCAATTCGGCAGAAAACAATGGACAGCAGTAATACTGTTGCACAGCGCAACTTATGCAGTCAATTTTTTGTGGCTATATGGACGGAAAATGCTAAACAAATTGAAGAAACTGTTCCATTCCACCGGACACGCTGCATATATTACTGAATTACCAAGTTTAAATCCATCAGCATTACTTTTACAGTTTTGTTAAATGTTAACTGGATACGCAGAATTCTATTAACTTCCCTTTCTCATTCACATCTCAATAGATTTTGCTATTATTTTACGTTTTGATCAACATTTTTGCAAGATAAAATGCTTATTGAATGTAGCACTGGGGAAGAAAACCTGCCACATTTAAAACTGCAAATCTATTAGTTTTAAACCATGCACTGCTAAGCAACACATATAAAATAATGCACTTTGAACCTGTTTAATTGAAATAAGTGAAAAGTGCTGTCATTCGCACAAAAGTAATATCATCCTATAATTAATCAAACGGATGTGCTACCATCCCTGAAATTCGTTTTGCCGAGAATGATGTTTACAACCACTGAAGTGCCAGCCATTGCAGTTTCGAAGATTCGTTCAAAGCGTTCTCTTGTCAGATCTTCTTTGTTGGATATCAGTATACCGCGTGCACCCAATGCTGAACCAATATAATCGTATCGTGTGTACTGAAACAAGTCATTTGTTTTTGGAAGTTATATCTTTAATACGTTAAAGTAAGTAATTTTTCACTATTAAAAAAAGTTGACACCACTCTACGAAAGGACCCTAATGTATTCTAGATATCTTGAATAAATTTCATGGAACTTCGAGTTGCATATTTTATCATTGTCGGTCATGAAGAACTTTCAACGACAAAATCGGCATCTGAAAATTGTAACACAGTGAATTTACCAAGATCTGTAAAATAATGAAATGAAATACCCGAAGATTCACCGCAATCGAACTTTTGAATGTAGCAATTTGTTCACGTGCGATCTGTGACCAACAAGCATCATTGCCAATTAACGCTATAATAGGAAGTTTATGACGCGAAAAAGTATCAAATTCCATCAGCGAAAAACCACAGGAACCATCACCGTATAATATCACCACTGGACGATCCGGATGAACCTATAACAAGTTAAGCATATAAGGTAGCAGCCACATTTAATAGCTACATCTGAAGAAAATTCACATGACTTATACTCTAAAGAAAGTCACAGTTCTTATTGTCTTAACCGAATCCATTTTTATGTTCATGCGGTCGATCGCTTCGGTTATAAAGAAAAATATTCCAAATTATTAAGATATATATATATCACATGATTTAAAAAGTGAGATCCTACAAAAAAAGTGGATACTAGTATATGCAACGTCGAAAAGAAACACAATTCAGAGTTAAAAGTCAACTTTTAGCCAAAGAGGTCCTAAGTACGACGGAAATTTTTTGCAAGCTCTCAATGCTTGAGTCAGAAGAGAAGAAAATAATATATTTCGTTTGTAATTAAACTTCCTCTAAAACAAAAGTTTCCAAATTTTTGTAAACTAAAGCGTAACGTACGACTTTTGCTCCAAGTGCAAAACCGGCTCCAACACCCAATGTACCGAAAACTCCAGGATCAAGCCATTGCAGCGGTTTTCTCGGACGCACAATGTAAGAAGCACTTCCAACAAAATCACCACCATCAGCTATCAAAATTGCATCCTCTGACAAAACCTGTAATATCTGAATCAGAAACATAAAAATTAAAAAATTATAACATCTTCAGAGAGAGAACAAAACTGAATCAAACAACAGAAAACAACTGAAATGACCAACTTTATTGAGCAAGGATAATACATAAAGAGGATTGATTCCATCTCTTGTAAATGTCTCGCTCACTTTCTCCATAGTTTCCATCTCTTTTTCTCGTTCATTCGTTATCAAACAAGCTAACCATTCTTGCATTAAAGGCTAAAAATTTACCCATTTTTTATTATATGCTGTATGCATACTGGTTATATGCTGTATAATGAATCATACCAAAAATTTTGTACGCAATATACTGGTTATATGCTGTATAAACGAAACATATGCTGTGTGCATAACGAATCATATCCAAAAATTTAAAAAATAAGTGTAGCAATTCAAGACAATAAATATTGCCGTGAAACTTAATTACTAATAAATTTTGACCTTAATGAATAAATCTGCAAAAAATTCAGGACCCAAATATGATTCTCGAGTAAAGCTAGCAAATTTCAAGGATGATAACTGCGTTAAGGATAAAATATGTTAGTTGCAGTAGTATAAAGAACTGAACTAACAAAGTAATTTAAAGTTATTAGTAACGGATTTCACATCTGAAATCATAAACTGTGATTATGAAAGGCGTCTAAACTTGCGGCTAAAGATTATTTAAATAGTTACTTACTATTTAAATAAAAACTTCCCATTTCGAGCGGTGAATGACACAAGAAAATAAGAAAAGAAGTAATACCTTACGACAAGATCTATCTAAACATTCAGCAAGGCTGACTAAGGTTGTTGCAACGTCTGCCTGGATCGCTAAATTAACTCGCCAGAATATGCCTTCATTCTTTAACATCTGCGCTCGATCACGACTTATTGAAACCACATTAGCGTTTGATGAGAGATCACGTCCGTATGAAAGACGAAAATCGCATACTGCACCTAAAACAATCTAGTGCTATGTAATCATGAAACGCTTTCAGAGGTTAACCATGTAAATTGATTCAAATGGAAAATAAGAATGAAGTACCAGCAAGAATAATTAAGTCGGCTTCTTTCAGGGCTATTTTTCTGTTGTAGCGCATAAGAATAGAATTATGAGTTCCCAGTAATCCACGAGACATACCGGTTAAGAATGTCGGAATGTTGATGGACTGAAATATAGACTGCTGACATGTTCATCATATATATTCTAGACAAAATGCACAATAATTAAAAATTTTTCAGCAACTTATACTTCACAGCAACCTTAAATTCTGCTCTATGAATAAGAATTCGTGGCATCCCATCAGCTTAAATATACTGAGTGAATATGTCAAACATACCTTTACAGCTTCCGCTAAGTCAGATACACAAACGGGACCTAAAACAGCTTGACTACCAATAACCAGTACTGGTTTCCTCGATTTCAACAACAGATTCAGCAGCTTTATGATATCGTCATCCTGTGGTAGTGGTATTTCGACCGGTATAGGTAGCATATCCTGTTTCAGAGACCAGCCACCACTGAACTGTCGAGAAATATGTGCTAAGAGGTATGAGTTGATGATTGCCTAAAAGCGAATTTGAATTTAATCGACTCATAGAATCTATTCACATAAAAAATAGAACCCACTTAAATTTTTAAGAACAAAGTTTTGGGAAGAAATAAATTTGAGAAAAAATGAAAATTTTACTTATACTTCCTTTCTTTCTGCTCTTAGCACTATCACTTGTTAGTAAAAACCACATATGAGTCATACAACAAATTTCAATGCTAATACCAGATAAAAACTTTCATTTTTTTTGACATTTTGCATATTTATATATTGTGAAAAGAAATAAATTACGAAAAACTTTCTGATTAATTTCGAAAACCTGTAAAAATAATTTAAAAAATACATTACTTGTTTGAAAGTTTTGGCCCTAACAATATTCATTTCCCTGAGTATTTTCTTATACGGATACAATACATCAACAGGTATCTCCACAAAGACCGGACCAGGTGTACCGCTCCGTGCGATATGAATGGCTTTTCTGAGAACCGATACAATATCCCTTATACGTGTTATTCGAGCAACGTATTTGCACAGTGGTCGCATTAAAGAAATTTGATCAATATCCTTGAAAATAAGTGAGCATTTTCAGAATTTTGTTACTGATAAATATGAAATCTGCGAAATAAGATTACAATTTGGTCGTTCGCATCGTAAGCTTTTTTTAGGATGTTTATGGGCAGCAGTATGTGACACGCAGTCATTTCATTACACAAATAAGACATTGGACAACCACATCCGGTTCTGCTGGGACATTGGAATTTACTTGGAGACTATACAAAGAGATCATGCAAATTTAGGTGAATAAATTATAACCTGCAAAGCGCCACGGTTTTTCGTCAAAATTGGTGCTGCACCTCCAATAAGAACTACAGCAGTTTCCGCCATTTGTGCATTTTTCATTGCAGTAACCGTGTTTGTTAAACCTGAATTAGAACAATTTGAGCAAAAAAAAAAAACAAGGAAAATAAGACAAATTTATACCACTACATTTCTCTGCTCATTAATTACACTAACGTCAATAAACCACCCATTTCAATCCAGCTGACGATTAAGTTCGATAGTTTGAAAACATTTGGTTTGCAGCAATTATATCCTCTCTTCCATCATCATATTTCATTAGATGGAAAATTCAATTTCACATCATGCCTCACTCAAGTAGAACTAATACATTTAAATCAATGAATAATATAAAAAACAAAAATCCTTTAAAACGCAAAATTTTCGTCGAATCGCATAATTATTTAATCTATAAATCAAACATTTTCTAAACACTTATCCTACCCGGTCCTGCAGTAACAACCGCCACACCAACACTTTGACGTAAACGTGCAACAGCATCTGCTGCAAATACAGCGTTAGCTTCGTGGCGTGTGTCGTACACTCGAATGCCAAGATTTTTCGCAGCAACCAGGATCGGTGATATATGTCCCCCGCACAAGGTAAATATTTCTTTTATCCTATGTGCCTAGAAGATATTCAATAGCATAATTTTTAGAAATAAACATCTTTAAGTGTATACTTATCAGCTGATAAAAGATATAATTTCGGATTACACGCCAGAATATTTGAGCTTTCAATACATTGTGTTTTAAGGTATCCGGAATTTCCAAAGAGTAGGATATTCAGCAAGAAAGATATCACCAAAAATAGTTACAAAAAGGGGAAATTCTATCACTGGCACAACAGAACAACTACTTTCCCGAATAACAAATTATATCAAAACGAAAATTAATCTTACCTTTAATACCGCAGCCACTAATTCGCCACCATGATGACTCGATACCTCATCAACCTGAGTATGCAAAAATTATAGATTTCATTCTTCACACAGATTTTTGTTCAGCTTTAAAGATTATACAACATATCCTGTACTTCAAGAATCAATTCCACAACCTGTCCGTTTCTTCTAGTCCCTCTTATCACAGTTACTAATTTTCACGTAAAATTGTAACCTGGAAGAGATCCAACATCCAATGTGATCGTTTACGATTGTACAAATCCGATGAGATCACACGCAAAGTATGGATGCTATTGATATTGAAGATTTTAATCAGCCATAGAAGGACAAATGCAAGAACAATCAAACCCGCCAGCAGTAAAAACATCATTTACTTCCTAATTACTTTTTGACCCTGAAAATATCCGATATCGGGAAAAATAGCAAATCTAAAACTTTTATTTAAAAAAAAAGAAAAACCCTGAAATAAATTAAATCGATAAATCTATGATATCCGTTTCAATACTTATAGCATGCAATAAGTGTGCAACAGTAATTTAGTGGAAGGGATAATTCTTCTCATGTCCTGTAATATGGAAGATATCGGAAGATATCCGGGATATGAATGAGAGGGGTCATCTCATTATTTATCGATTTATATAAGGGATAGAAGGGAGAAATAAAAATACACCACCCGTAACAAATAACCAACCACTACGTAATAAATATAACTATTTGACGAAAAAATAAATTTGTAGTGGACCCGTCAGCAGGAACACCGCACCGCGCTGATAACCAGCAAACAATGTACACTGATTTCATTTTATAATCATTTATATATTTTTCGGTTAACATAGGAAGAATTCAATCTGAAAAAAATTATAATATGCAAATTTTTAAAATATATCCATATTTTTGATATTTTTGTAAAACTTCAAATTTGAATAATTTTTATCCTCAAATATTCAAAATAATTAAGCCTAACTTTAGTTTTTATAACATGACGTGCTAAATTAAATTTTACTAACAAGGATAACGTTTAGTATTTGAGTTTACTATCCATTGTGGATAATTTTATTACATTCTCCTAATTTTATCTTGTTTCATCTTAACTAATACTTCTATCATACATGTTACCATGGTTATCAAAAAAAAAAGGAAAAAAGAAGCTTCACGTACCTTCGTTGATTCGAAATACATTCATGCATTTAGGCATTCTTTCCAATTTCAATTTATATTTCATCCATTTCATTATCATTTTTACTTTGCTTAGTTCTCTTTCCTTCAAATTCAATAATGCATTTTTGCAAATATTACTCAAAAAACGCAAACAGATAATTCATACGGAACATTTTAATGTCTAAGATTAGAGAAGTATAGTCCTGAATTACATGAGAAATGTGGAAAAGAGAAGATAGCCCATAAGGAAGATATGATAGGATCGGAAGAGAAGATAGGAATAATGATTATGGGAACTGATAAAGATGAGAAAAAGTAACTATAGTAAAATGATCTATTAATACTGTTATTATTCAAATCGTGAAACGAATTACCAATGTGATGTTTCTCGGAAAACAAGCTAAATATCATGGGTAAGTCTAATATTATTTTAAATATTTAGCTTTATATTACACAGAATAGCTGCAGTTGAACAGCTGCATTGGTCTAATCTTATTTCACACACACACACACACACACACACACACACACACA